GTTTTAGCTGGAGAGGATAACCAAGCCACTACTGCCTTTAATGGGTTAGGATCTGCACCATAAACATGACATATAACAGTCTCTGCTTTAAACCTTGTATATCAACCTCATAGCTTTAAGGCAGATCCCATCTGACAGCATAGCAGCCAGCTTTGCAATTAGCAGATTACATTTTGTTTTGCTTTGTTTCTAGAGCTAATTGGTTTTCCTAATTGTTTCTGTAATTTGCTTGCCAGGTGATGTTCCATGTCGATAATGGCGCAGGTCGATTCTCTGCCATCTATGAACCTGCTGTTCCAGGTAGCTTGTGTAATGGAAAGTGGCACAGGATTATAGCACACAAGATGAAGCACCGTTTAATTCTGACAGTAGATGGCCACAACGTAGAAGGGATCAGTCCGAATGCAGCTTCCAGTTCAGCAGAGACTAATGATCCTGTCTTCGTTGGAGGATATCCTGGTGAGTACAAACTCAACATCCAGTGATCGTCAAATAGGGTTTGTTTTTTCAATGTGTTTCATCCCTGATGGATGACCTCTGCAAAGAGCAGGACAGGGAGAGTGACCTGGCTCCTGATCTCTCATCAGCTTTTGATACTGCATTCACCATGGTATCCTCCTGAACTGCCTCTGTGGAATGGGAAATGGGACACTATCACAGTGGTTCTAATCCTACCTTCAAGGCAGAGTCCAGGACATAGCCTTGGGAGGGTGCCTTTCAGCCCCCTACACTATTTCCAGCGCTATGTAATATCTATAGGAAGCAGTCATTAGGACTTTCAGGGTGAGATGATATCAGTATGCTGATGACATTCAGCTCTATTTCTCCAGGACATCTGAGCGTGGAGAGATTGTGCAGTCCCTGGCCTATTGCTGGGATGCAGAGGTGAAATGGATGGTGAAAAGGAAGCTGAGCTTGAATCTTGAGTAGCTCAATTGCCTACTCCAGATGGAGTAGCATTCCCCCCCCCCAACTGAGCAGGTTCGTAGTTTGGAGGTGCTTCTGGGTCCAGCTGTGTCAATGGAGACTCAGCTACTGCAAGTGCCTTTTATGCATTGTGACCAGCTCAACAGCTACAGCCACTTGAGGGTCAGGAAAGCCTTCCCACAGCGGTTCATCCACTGCTACTGCAATGCACTCTATGGAGGGCTTCCATGGCACTTGATCTTTTTTGGGTGCCTGCTAAAAACATTCCTGTTTAGGCACGCTTACCCAGATGCTTAGGAATTTGAGGTCATTTTAATCTGTTTCAGTGTTTTAACTTTTTGTATATTTTAAAGTAAGGTCGTAAATATCTGTTGATTTTATTGTTTTACGTTTTTGGAAACCTGTTGAGGGTGGTGGTGTTTTAAACAATCAAGCAGTCTATGCATATTAAGAAAAATAAATAATATAAAATCAGTGGAACTATCTTGTCTGGATCCCATGCTTCATGAGGGGGGGAAAAACCAATCTGAAAAACAAACCTGATGGTGAAATGGGTAGTCCAGCCAGTTTGTAGTGAATCAAAACTATCCTAAACCACCAAATGTTTGGCACGTACACAGTTTCCTGTATGTGTAACAAGACCAGTTGGGTCCTTCCTGTGACCTTCCTGATGTTGCTGGACTAAGATACCTAGCAGCCCAAGCCAGCAGTGGCAACAGTCGTAAATCAGGACCAATATTTGGAGGGCTACAAGTTCCCCACCTGTATCTGATTTATTTCATTTATAACCTAAATCAAAAAGCTCCAATTACGCTTCTTTATACTCTATTATTTTCTATTTTTTGTCATCAATAGCTATGTTGGAATAGGCTCAGGCTTGGGTGATATTCCAGAGAAAGGGACTTGAAAAGTTGTGGGGGCAGACACACGGATTGGGCAATGTCAGCTTTTCAACATCACAGTGTATCACCAGCCAATCATGATGATCTGGCATTGTGATGATGTTGAAACGGAGGGAGGACAAAGCTACATTGGCCCTGGTCCCACGAGGAGCTGAACTGGTTTCACCCCAGTGCCTCGTGGGGCTGGGTCAATGCAGCTTTGTCCTCCCACCAGGCGCAAGGGCGTCTCTCCACCCCTGGAGGGGACAAGCTATGGAGAGTGGCTCCCTCAAAGTCCAGCCTGCCTGAGCAGACACCTTGCATCTGACCACCCCAGAGGAAATATGCAGCCCACCATCTCAGGCAAAGGCAGCCAAGCACATGGAGTCTGTTAAGTTTCATTCACATGGGCAGGGGAGGGCAGCAATCCACCTGCCCTGTCCTGTGGCTCACATGGGGGAGGGCTGCCTCCCTCAACACTTCTCGGTTGAGGAGCAGGCAGCTGAGCCCCCACCTTGCATAAGGTGGAGGTACAGTACGGTCTCTGCTAGACTTCTCCACTGAGGGGTAGGAAGCTGCGCACCCCTCAATGGAGAAGTTTGAACACGATGCTTGTTCCTCCCTCCATTGTATGATGGCCAGAGTGGGACACTCCTTAGTCCCTCTGCCACCAGTGCCCAGCTGCAGCTTGTTTCTCCTTTGGCACACTGCACGCTAGTGGCAAAGGGATTCAGGAGCAGTGGCGGTTTCAACTGCAATACCCCACTGGGTGAAGCAGCCATTGCACTCTGGCCCGCATACCAGTCCTGGGAGATGTATTAAAACATCACACAGGCCTATACCTAACACCACAGAAGCTGGTGCTTCTATACAGTCATACCCCTTGGGTTAAAGTAGCTTCAGGTTGAGCGTTTTCAGGTTGCATTCCACAGCGACCTGGAAGTAACGAAATGGGTTACTTCCGGGTTTCACCGCACGCGCACATGGGCAGACTCTCAAAATGACGTCATGCGCAGAAGCGGTGAATCGCGACCCGCACACACGGGTTGCGTTCTGCTCAGGATGCGAACGGGGCCCCGGAATGGATCCCATTCGCATCCAGAGGTACCACTGTACCCAGGAATCTCATCTAAATGCTGGCAAGTCAGCACATACCTGCACATGTGGTGGGAATGCCCCAAAGTTCAATCCTTCTGAGTATCAGTGCTGCAGGAAATTTCCAAAATAACAAAACGGGTAATAGACACTACTCTAGAACTAGCCTTATTAAATATTTTCCAGGACATCCTCACACACATGACAAGGAACTCTTAAGTCACTTACAGCAGCTAGAAATCCAAAGTACAAACCTAGACTTTGGAAGGGACCTATCAGGAGTGAACATAGACCACTGGTACCAAAATGTATGGGAAACTACCTTACCAAAGAAGTTTACCAACAAACTTAAACTAAGCACAGGGACAAGCAAAGGAGGACACCTTCACCCTAGTATGGTTCCCCTTTATCACATACACAGCACAACATACAAATCAATATGGCTAGCCTGACCCAACAACCTACCCTTCCATTCAATCAATCAACCAACCTCAGAACCCTCTAATCTCTCGCATTATCAATATAAATACATAAACAAAGGACCTACCCACGTGATGCTGACACAAATCCCTACACTAACACTAGGCAATAGAACGAAAGAACACCACCACCCCATCTCTTTCCCCCAACTACAAGATGTCTATGACAAAAGTGTCTCCCAGTCCCGCTAAATGTAAACTGAAAAAGACCATGAATTTAAAGTGGAGACAATAGATGTGCTTTTCCCAGTTTATCTGTTAGTTTTTATTTAAAAAAACAAGAACAATTGTAGTGTGACTTGACAAAGTTTGTCTTTTGTAAGGTATGCATTATCAATTAAATATCTGGCATGTAGCCTAAGCCATCTCCCATCCTGGTCCCTTAGCAGAAGTATCTGCTGGATCAGAAATCCTTCCATGAGCATAAGGGCTCAATTGGATTCCACCTGCAGCTCACATTGCTTTCTACTCATAAATGCTGCACAGAAAATGAAATATGAAGGAAATGTTTATTTTTAGAAGAGAGATCTGAATAATTACCTTCGTTTTTTCTTTCTTCCCTCACAGATGGACTGAACCAGTTTGGCCTGACCACTAACATCCGTTTCAAAGGATGCATTAGATCCATGAAGCTCACCAAAGGAACTGCTAAGCCTCTTGAGATTAACTTCAGCAAAGCCTTGGAGATAAAGGGAGTTCAGCCTCTATCTTGCCCTACAAATTAACAGGACATCATCCGACTCTGATATGAGCCTGACCACTTAAAACCAAAAAAAGTGCCTCAGATTTTTAAAGAATCCTATATATATATATACACATTACCTTCATAATAAAAAGGCCCTTTTGCAAATATTTTGACTTCAGCCTGTTACATAGTCAAAATGGTGCTATTTCAGGGTGTGCTTCTAAAACAAAACGTTAGATGAAGAACATTTTCCCCTTGGAATGAATAAAGTTGCAAGCTATTCATGTGTGATGTGTCAGTCTTTTCCCTGAGTTTGAAGTGAAATCTTTTTAGTATCGTTTTGAGGAATGGAATTGTATTAACACAGACCCACAGTCTTCAAGTACAAAATGGAGATATGGTTCAATTTGTATGGGTATGTTGAGATAAAGATAGCCAGTTTTATGTACCCCACCTTCTAGTGTTGGTTGCCAGTGGTAATGGGTAATGTAATTTCCCCTGGGGGTGTTTTCTCTGGGGATGACTATCTGGACCTTTGGCCTCACTTCCACTTTTCCTTTCCACTCTGTGGCTGGAACAGGCCCAGCACAACAATTTCATGTTTTAGCTTAGGATGGTTTGGGCTGTTATGGTAAAGTGGTAAAACAGATGAGCAAATAACAGGATCACTGGCTTCCTTCAAGGCATTTGTCATCCACATCAGGTTCTGGTGGGAGAAACAAAGACTTCATCGAAGGGCAGTGAGATTCACAGGCCTGATCAAGATTTAATTGGAATAGAGAAACCACTTTAATATTCCTTGTGCTGTCATTACTTTTTGTACTTTGTAATAACAAACATTATAGGTGCTTCTGGTCTGAAACCTGTAGTCTCATGGTCAGTATGCCCCTACAGTGAGATGCACTGGCGCATGCCAGCATCTGGCGCTCATGCATGTCTCTGCAGGGGAAAGTGTGCTCCCTTTCTGTATTTGGTTGTAAGTCACTTTGTTGCCCTGGGCAAGATAAAGCAACTAAGAAGTTTAATAAAGTTCACAGGAAGTGGAGAAAGTGTATTGTGAAGAGGGTTTGGGCATCTTCTACAATTACATATGGAGAAGCCCAATGTGTTAGGCTTGTTTGTCTGGATGTAGGGTTGTCAAAACTAAGTCCACCCTCACTGTGTCAGATTAATGAAAAAAACTCAACAGTAAAGCTATCAGGACATTTTAAGAAAACAGTATTGTTTCCCTGATTCTGAATGTTTTCCATGCACTCTGCTAGTGTTTTCTATACTCTGTGTAATGCACTCTTTCCATGATATGCAGGACTCAAAGTTTTCTTTTGCGTGTCTGGTAGGGAGGGAGTTATGGGGATGACACTGTTCACTGCCTAAGGAATTTGTGCAATGTTGCTACAAAGAACATGTTGGATTGAAATCCTAATATATCATTTGAACAGCTTTGTAATGTTCTGTGCTTTTTAAAAAATATATAGCTGCTCTTTGGTACTCACGGTGCTGTATGACATTAACACATTCCACATTCCACACATGGCATACTCATTTTCCTTTGCCAGATTACTTTATAGCATTAGAAAAATCAGCAGGTGAACCAATAATGAGTGACATTTGCATAAGTCATTAAACGCATCAAACATTGTATTCCATACATGCATATTTTAAATGGACAGTGGGAAAAGATGCAATGCAAAAGTTAAAACTAATATATTCCTTTGGAGCAGAACAGCAAAATAAAGTAGATTAAAATGCCACCCACTTTCTTTGTACTAAACAGTCCCTCAACCCACCAGGCTTCCAGAAGAATCCTACTCTTGGGTAGCAACACATTGCCTGCCTTCCAGGCTTATAATGCTTTTCCTTATGCTGAGTTTACCTTAAACTAAAAACCTTCCAGATAGGCTACCTGCAGATACAGATTTTCCTTGCTAATCACTGGCTCTGCCCAGTGGGCCACATGAAGCCTCTCAAAACAAGAAATGTGCCAAACTGCTCATCTGCAATGAAGGTTTCACTACCCTGACAGCAAATAGCCTGGGGCTCAGCTAAGTTTCCTAGTTGTCCCTATAATCCCACAAACAAACAGAAATATAAAAATGTGCATTCTCATACAAGTATGATATACATTCCCCTGCCAGTAAAATATGCAAGGGTCTGTACAAATAAGGACCAAAGACTCAGTCTAGGACAGCAAAGTCCAAATCATTCACATGTGTGTAGCCCAGCACAATAAGGAACTATGTATGCCAACAACTTCTCCCTGCATGGTTTCCACATCTGATCCAAGAGTAGAACATGCAGAAGTTTAAAATCCACCAGGGGCTGGATTCAGCTTTTTCCTCCTCCACCAAGCAGCTGGTTCACGGAATCTTAACCTTTTTAAAAACACTGAAGCCCTTTCCCCAGCCCAATCTGGAAATGCCAGTGATCAAATCTGAACAAGCATGCGTTCTGTTAGAGGACCATAGTAGCTCAGTGATAGAAGGATCTGTGGACATACATAAAGAAGGCACCAGGCCAGGTTTAACAGCCAGCATCTTCTTGCCAGAAGCCCCAGAAAGTCATAGTCAATACCACAGCCAATATTGAGCTAGATGGATCAATAGTCTGACTCACCCTAGAGCAGATTCATCTGCTCCCAAATGGAATCTATGCACACACAGTTAGATTGGGTCATCTCATCCCTCTGAGATTGGCTTCAGAAGTACAAAGAAATTGTGCAGTGCCATTTTTTTACATTATTTCTATAGAATTCTTTTCTTGTGTGAACTTCACAGCATATTTTTTTTTTAGTATTAGAATCCCCACCACCACCATCTCTTTCTTTCTCATCAAAGTTAGTTTGAACACAAATTAAATTGATCATTTCAGTTTGTCTTGTCTTAATTAAGAGCATCTCTCTAATAATGAAAGCAAATACTGGGTCTCAAGCGGTCTCACTTTCTCAGTGTTGCAAATTAATTATACTGAATAACATGCTGTCTTCCTTTTCTTCTTAATTTAATATAGTGAGTTTCTTTGCTTCTGGCTGTCATTGCTAATAAGCGCAGCCAAGGCGAGCATGCCCTGGGCTTTTCAAATCTTGTTTTTGAGTTAAATTTAGATGAAATTCTCAGCCTCAATTTGATCTTTGTGTCGCCACACACCCCAACAATGGCTTTTGCATTCCAGCAATTGTTAATTGAGTTTGCTGATATCGACCAACACAGCAGAGGTGCTGTTTTCATGCTGCAGCCTAGGATGGCTCCCAATCAAACTCAAACCTGCATAGAGTCATAAATGGTGTTTCTATGACTTGCTGTTAGGCCATTCTCACATCAGACTAATTAACCAGGTGGTCAAAAATTTACACTGGATTTCACATTTCATGAAACTGCTGATAGATGATAGATAGATAGATAGATAGACAGATAGATAGATAGATAGACAGATGAGAGAGAGAGAGAGAGAGAGAGAGAGAGAGAGAGAGTGTGTTATGGGGCACAGCCCCCAAGGTCTTTTTTGGTAGCCCTCAGCAACATTTGACACCCCTCCCTTGCAGCCCTTGTGCTGCTTTCCCACAGCTGTGTAAGCAAGCTGCTGGGCTTTGGGAAGGAGGCATGAGGGCTCTGACAGGTCCTAAGATCCTCCTTCCTCCTTCCCAAGGCCTAGTTAGTGCTTTCTCAGCTTTGGAAAGGAAGTAGGAGGGCAGCCTTCCCAAAGCCCAGCACCTTACTTAACATCAAATTTTGGCCTTGCTCTACCCCCACCCCCAGCATGCATGCAACAAGGCAGTGTGAGGACCATAGCTTCCTTGTCAAAGTTGTCTTGTGGCACACTTGGTATGAAAAGTCGGACCGCCCTGGTATAGAGGGTTTCCGGGGGGGGGGGGGTGAGTCAGGGTGTTTTCCGAAACTGTGGCTCTGTATAGATGAAGGTAGACTCTCTAAGAGGAAACCAAACCAATCAGTTCCAATGATGATGACGATACACCTATCTAAATGGGTTAAGATTATGGCCTTAGCTGGCCAGTTAAGTATGTAGTTCCATTTACATTAAATACAGGTTGCCCTGATGCCATAGGCGGAGGGGAATCCCCTAACCTAGTTCAAAGCAACATCACCATGTAAGGTAAAAGAGCGACAGCCAGAGTTTTGTGGGAGAGTTCTGGCGATTGCTGGCAGCTGGAGGGTTTCAGAGGTGGGGCACACACTATTAGAAGGGGGGAGCAGTCCAGCTTGGGCATGGTTAGTGGAGCGAAAGAGGGAAGGAAAGAACGAAAGAAAGAAGGCTATTGAAAGGTGCATCCCCCCCCCAATGCAATGTTTTAAACTGCAGTAACTTTCCTTGCTGCGCTACTCAGCAACAGACCTAATTTTAACCCGCGGCTGCCATCACATCCAGTTCAGCTTTCCTCAGATTTCTCAAATGTATAAAATCTGTCACTCCTTGTTTTAATGACATATGAACCAACAGAAAGTACTCCAGACCATCTTGCACGTTGGCCGTGTTAACTTTTCCCCACAATGACCTGCAAGGCAGCTTGTCATATCATGGAAGCACTCTCCCTGTTACCCTTACTGAGCTTAGTATTTTTTCCTTGGAACAACAACACAAAACCCACAGAACTTCCCATTACCTCTGAAACTTTGTCTATTGTAGCACTTCTGAGCTAGTTGAGATAATGAGCAAAGGGAATTGCAACTTTAAGGACTATTTACTTAAACACTACTGGAAATTGAGCTGCAGAAACTATCGGCTTAGCTGCGGAAGAAGCAATTGCTGCTGCTTCAGTTCCTTTGTACAGCTGTTAACATTTAGCACCAGGCTGTTCTAATGAGCACAATTCAGAATTGGGAGAGACCCTGGGGCTCATCTAGTCTAACCCCGTGCCATGCGGCGATTCTGCCCACAGCCGTCCCTGGGTGGCCTTGAATCACTAATCTTCCGGCTAACGCACTGACCCACTGCGTCACAGGATGGCTCTGGAAGCAACTTCGGGGTCCAGGTCCAATTGCATGCCTCAGGCCTTTCTAAGCAGTCCCTGGGTCTCTCCCTGGGGCACCCCCTTCCCCATGCCACATCCCTCCCCAGCATGACCCCATGCCTTCGCAAGTACATTTTCCTGACTGGCATGTGCCCCTGAACTGTGAGGGAGGGAGTGTAGAGCCCTCAGACTTTTGCATGGCTGGAACGCACCTACTCTAATACTACAAGAGTCACATTCACTGCTGTTACCTTTAGTCCTGCCTGCCACTGGCAAGCAGCTCTCAGAAGGATGCATCCCACAAGGGAGTGTGACCTTCCGGCAAAAAAGGGATCTCCACCACCACTGGTGTACAACAAGCATCTGCATAATGCCACACACACACAAAGTGCTAAGCAATGCACTCTGCACTCAGCTTAGTGCTCCATCTAGAAGTCCACTCCTCTTATTGGCATCAAACCTGCTCCCTGAACTACTTTTTTCAGTGATGGTGCCAGGGGCTGAACATTAAGTCTTCCACATGTGCTGTATCTACTCTACCACCAAGTTATACACCCATCTGAATAACAGATCAATTCCCTTGATAGCAACGTCAACACTTTGCTTAAAAATTGTTTTTCCTATGAGCCAAAACGGAGAAGGTGAATTAAACATCATCGGTACTTTCTCTCAAGAGCTCTAGGTTTATCTAGTATAGCTAAGAGATAACCTGAATAACAGATAACCTGCTGGCAGACCTATTGTGCAGCAAGAGCCAATAACAAGTCAGTTGCCAGACCCATAGTGGCAGCGGCAAAACAGCCTATGGTCTCCATTTTTATGTATAAAATAGGGTCTTTGAAGTACAATCTCCATAAGACATATCCCCAGCTGTCTACAAATTGTTCACGGACCAGTTCTGGATTCTGATCGATATGCAAAATCTCCTTTCTGTGCTGATCTTGCCATTGCCTGATCCAAGCAATGTCTTCTCTGCCATTTACATCTGAGCAATGTCATTTATACTAATATGCTTCATTCTGATTCAACTGAGTTCCAATTCAGTAACTTACCTAGCTGCAGAGAAATGAAATACATTTGTGCACAGAACCATTATCCAAGGACCATCAGGCAGAAGCTACATGCCTTTCCAGGTACTCATCTATGGAGCCCACTCAAAATCAGTTGCTGGCCTGAGGCCGAGCCGGAGCTCATCTGAGGGCAGCACAGTGGGATCAAGTAGCTTTGTCAAGCAGAGCAACCAAATCTCATTTTCTACTCTAATGGAATG